CCCTGCCGCTTGATTAATCAACAAACTCCGCATGTTACACCTTGCCTAAACCGTGCGCGGCGCACCAGCAGCCGCGGACTCAGGGTATAAAAACCCCCAGAATGGTGTTGAGCTCGCCTCATGCCTCATGGGTTGGCCAACAGCTGCGGCTCAGGCAACCCATGCGGCCCGCCTCGTCATTATGAAATCACACCTCAGTACAATTGTGGAGCAGCCCAGCCTGTCATGGGGTCACCGTGCTCCAGCCAACACGGTTACGTCATCTCGTCATGAGGACGGCGCGGCATCATGGCCTGGCAGCAGGGCGTGGGCAGCCCGCCGCTGCTCCTGTCCTAGGCAACGGCAGGCCCCCGCACACACTGCATGCTCGCCGTGTTCCCGCAGCCGCGGCTGCTCTGTTGCGCCCCGCCATACTGCCGCCGCGCCGCTACTGCGTCGTGCCTGTCAGGGACTGCTGCAGCGCCTCCAGCTGGTCGAGGGACGCCCCCGTGTCCTGCTGCGCGGCAGCCATGCGCCGTTGCGCGCCCGCGGCCGCTTCCGCAGCGTTGGGCGCCTTGGCGCAGAGGCTCGACCCTGGGGGTGGTTCGCGGCAGCGGGGGCGAGCTGATTAAATGCCCCAGGGACTGTGTCACAATCCGCAGGTGTCACTCGAGCGACATCGACATCACCACACAGTCTGGGAAGCTTCGCAAGCAGAGGGCCATTCGCCAACTCAGCCCGGTCAGGGGCCGCGCTCGTCCAACTGGAACAGATTGTGTGGCCACCGCCACAAGTCAGTCCAAGTCCACCCACCTGGCCCCTCCCTGGCCGCCAGCGCCCCTTTGGCGCGGGCCAGCATCGGCCCCAGCCGCTGCAGCGCGCCGCCGATGGACGCGGCGTCCTCCAGCAGCGCCGCCCTCTGCGTCGCCAGCGCGCCCGAGAGCGGGTCGAAGGCGGACGGGTCACCTATGGCAGGGGCGGGGCGGCAAGGGCGTGTGCGGGATTACAGGCAGGTCGGTGGCCGCTTCATAGACAGTAAAGACATGACTGACGTGCTGACTTGGCTAAGGCCGTCAAGCAACACGACAGGAAGGTGTGTGTTGTGTAAGCGAGCATCTCCTGAGCTTGCAGCATTGAGCAGAAACAACTGCGCACCACCAGCCGATTGGAAAAATGCCAACGCAGCAATGCATGGACCTGCCGCCGCGCGCCACCCACCTGCCAAAGCCAGGTCACGGTTGATCTCCTTCAGCTGCTGCCTGAGACCCCGGCAGTCCTGCTTGGCCTGCGCATCGTATGCACGGGCCGCCGGCGCAGTGGGTCGTCCCCTTGGCAGATCACCCACGGCCACATGCGCACAGCCAGATACCTTGCAACTCGCACTTTGAGGCCGCCCCGCGTCTCGCTACCCTATGTAGCCGGGGGGTGGCGCCCTGCTCGACCCTGGCGCGCGTGGTTCGCCCGTACCTCCCCAATCTGCCGCCGCATGTCCGCCAGCTCAGCATCAAGCTGCGCCTCTTCCTCAGGAGACACCTCAACCAGTGGGGCCGCCGCCTCCTGGGGTTTCCCGTTGCCGCACGCGGGGGGCGCAGCAAAGGCGCGGAAGGTCAGCGGTGCGGCAGGGTTGCTGCATTCGAACCAGACTGCTCGCTTGCCTGTGCATGCAGGTCATCAGAGGGAGCGGCTGCTGTTGCAGCTGCTACTGTTGCCGCTGCTGCTGCTGTCGCTGCTGCTGTGCACCTGCCTGCCAGCTTCAGGGGCCAGCGCACCTGCTCCAAATACAGCTCTGGCGGCACCCGCAGGATCGTGGCCTGTGCCAGGCGCTCAAAGTTAGTGGCCGCCTGGTTGAGGCTGCCAGAGGCGCACTCGTACAGCACGCCAATCCCCTGCAGCAGTGCTCGTCGGTGCTCCGGCCGGATCTCTGCTGCGCCCGCAACGGCCCTGCATGATACAGTAGTGGTGTGCACTTCAGCTGCTTTTCAAGCGGCAGACGGGCACGTTCATGCGCACAGCAGGCAAATGTTCACGGCGCCACTGTTCTGCAAGATGGCATTGCAGGCCGACACTGCTACCTGGTTGCACACGCGCGGCGCCCCATCAACAAACACGCTGTGCTGAGTGCACTCACTCCTCAAACCGGTCGAAGGCATCTGCGCAGGTTTCCAGTGCCTGCATGCAGGTTTGTGGCATCCTCAGGAATGTGTTCTGCTGCACAACACCGACGCGCGTTGCGGACGGGGGGCGGCGCGAAGGCAGAGGCCCTTCTGCGGCCTCCCGTAAACATACGCACCACATTGACCATATCTCCAATGACGAGCGCCGGCTGGAACGTGAACGGGCTGACCCTTTCCGGCTTGGCCTGCTGCTCCTCGTTCTGTTGCTGCTGCTGCACCCCCTCCATGTCCTGTGGATTCTCATCCATATTTTCTATGTACGACCTTGTTTTGATGAAAAAACTCTTGTACGCCGTGGAGTGCCCAGATCACTTGTAGACGAAATGCGTGCTGAAAATTAGCTTTGAAACGCGTGATGATTAGGAAACGAATGCAATGGAACCGGCGTGCCACCTGATGAGGTGGAATGGCCCACGCACATTTCAAACCCACCACATCATTTTCACACAGCCAGGGCTCGCATGGGTCTTCCCGAATGAAAGCCATGAGTGTTATCAACTGGCAATTCACGACGTAAGTATTGTGGCGCCTATCGGCCGGATCGGGGCTCTTCCCTACTGGCCTGCACTCCACAGCACACGGCACATCGTCACACCCACCAGCACGGTCTGCTGCTGATGTGGCGCTACGCTTGCAGACATCAAGCAAAATGTCAGTTGTCCGCTTTTGACACAGATATTGGCGGTACCAACGTATAATTGCGCCACCTACAGGACACTGTCGCCCAAACGTGCTGTTTCTGAGCCAGGCTGTCAACCAGCGCCGCGTGATCGCCGTGTAATCTAAACATGGCCAACTTGCCCATCTTGATGTATTCAATGCAGCATCTCAGGCGTCCACTGCATGTTTCCACTAGATATGTGAACTTCCTCCAATAGCCCCTGACGTACAGGCCGAGCCCAGCAACCAATGTCCGATCGCTGCTGCTCTTAGGGCAAGGCCATGTTGAATGCTCCCGTTTGCTGTCCCACCAGTGACACCAGGCTGCTTCAAATCATACACCCGGGATGGCATTGCAATTGGGCACAAGGTAAGGTGTATGGCTGGCCGGGGTAGAGCAGGTGCTGTTCTTCGCACAGTTTGGTTGCGCGTATTGCTGTTTCATAAGCAGCAGCATGGGGTCGATGTCCACAAACAATCTTGGCACAAGACAAAGACAAAAACTGAATGCTGCAGCACTGCTTCCAATCGTCCAACCGTTCCCAGACTGGAACACACGGGTGGCGCACCAGTCAATGATCACCAGCATGGCACACTTGCTTGTTGGTGCGCAAATGCAAGTGCCCTCATTCAGCACATTCTGCAAATCCGCAGGTTTATTGAGGGGATGGCGGCGCCGCCGCGGTTTCGTGCGCAGCTGAGCTCGATCTCAGCTGAGCTGACGCAGCTACTACTATGTGGCTGCATGGGGAGGTGTCCACGAAAGGGGAGTGCATATGTTTCCCAGACACATGTAAATTACTGTGTTTCTCTATCAATCGCGGCCCCTGCTTTGCAATCGAAGGGAGGTTTTGAGACAACATCCGCCGAGCTACCGGCACATCGAAGTGGAATTCATTGAGGTCCTACAGAGTGAACACACTGAAGTGTGATGATCAGTGTCAGATTATGATAATAGGCATAGTTATGAGCGACTTCGCAAGCAGAGCCCTGCTTTCCGCAGTGCGCCGCGAAGCCCCTAGTTAGTTAGTCGTATCTCCTGGAACAAAATAGTAATTGCACACTCGATTCGCAGCCGCCTCAAACAGCTCGCAACGGAGTGGCGCTGCGTGCCGCTGGCGCGCTCTTTTGGCACCCAGCGAAATAGCGTAGACGCACGCGGCGCACGGCAAGCACAGCGTGCGCGTCAGGCGCCCCGGGATGGTGCCTTTCTCCCAGTCAGAGGCGGAGGCCTTCTGGTATGCGGCCCCGCACCTGTCGAAGGAGCACCAGCAGGCGCTTGCGCAGCTGCGCTCGGAGCTGCAGACGCGCGGCTGCCTGGCCCCGACCGTCGACGACGACCCGTCGCTGCTCCGGTTCCTCAAGGCGCGCGGCTGGAGCGTAGAGAGGGCAGCCAAAATGTACCAGGTGATTGTGTGTGCAGTCAGGGGTGCCCTACGCAAGGGGCGTGAATGGCAGTGCATGCACACCAGAGAGCAGCCGCGGAAGACCTGCGCCATTGGTTGGCGATCCCTCGCAGCTGCCCGCCAGGCGCAGCTTGCACATAGTGGCCACAATCATGTTTCAGTGCTGAGGCATTCAAGCGCCTCTCACAGCGCCCTGGATCTCAAGCAGTGCCTGTGCTTGTGCCTGCGCACTTGCAGGCCATGGCGGAGTGGCGCAAAGCCAAGGGCGTGGACGAGATGATGCGGTCGTTTAGGTTTGGCGAGCGCGCCATCGTGCGCACCATGTACCCGCACTTCTATCACAAGACTGACAAATTCGGGCGGCCCGTCTACTACGAGCTGCTGGGGCAGGTGCGAGGGCCTGGAATTCGCAGGGTTGGTGTCAAGGGCTGGCAGTGGAGTGAGGTGGCAGCTCGGCGTGCATTGCTTTCAGCCGTCTTGCATGTGGCAGCAGCCGGAGCACTTGCGGTTCAAATTCAACAGGAAATTCAAGCATGGGCGACCCCAGCGCCGTGGGGCAGATGCATAGCGCTCGCTCCTACGGGCTGTTGCGCCCCGGCTGCATAATATGTGTTGGGTGCGAGGAGCGCCGGAGACCACCCACCTCTCTTCTTTATTATTCCCCTGTCGGTGGCAGGTGGACGTGGCCAAGGTGATGAGTGTCACGACGCGGGAGCGGTTCCTAAACTACCACATCCTGCTGGTGGGGAGTGCCAGTGGCGCGGCTGCAGCTGGGGGTGGGGCCCTGGTCTTTCCAAGCCAGCGTGTTAGCGGTGAAGCAAATGGGCAGGCCAACCACCGCGTCCTTTTGTTTGTTTGCAAGGTGGATGGTGAGGTGCAGCAGGCGTAATTGTGTGCATACGTCGGAAACGGGCCGCAGCGCCGAGTTAACCGGCTTCATTCTCACTGGCGTGCCCGCGCAACGCGCCCGTCCGCAGGCCGAGTCGTTCCGGCGCGAGAAGCTGCCGCAGTGCAGCGTATGCGCGGGGCGCACCATCCTGGGGGTCGTGGTGGTGCTTGACTTGGAGGGCTTTTCCCTCGCCCAGTTTGCCGCAGCGAAGGATTTCCTGGCAGAGATCTCACGACTTGACCAGGACGGTGGGTAGCTGCGGCAGGCGGGAAGGCGGTCGCGGAGGGTGCGGCCGGCAGGGAGGCAGGGCATCTTGCATCTGCAGGCAGCCTGCACGACAACTGCTTTGATCCGGGAAGGGCGGGTAGTTGTGAGCCGCTTCTACATCGGGCTTGATGATGCTTGCCAAGGACGGCGAGCGTAATATCTGGCAGTAGTCTGGCCATTGTTTGAAATCACATTGTGAACAAACAGCAACACTCCCACGCATGCATCATGCAGTGTTCCCGGAGCACTTGGGTGTGATGTTTCTCATCAACGGTGAGCAACATTACGTGACACAGCGCCTGCACATGCTCCCTTCTCACTCACCGTCCCACCATCTGCATACCTTTTTGTGCAGCAATGCGCAAGCAAATTGATGTGTTCTAGATGCTTTCACACCACAACAATGACGTGCCACCCTCGTGCACTGTGTGGGGCCCTTGCCCTCTACAGCGCCCCTGCTGTTCCGATCCATCTGGGCGTGCATCAAGCCGTTTCTGGACGAGAGGACACTGGGCAAGATCAAGGTGAGCCATCACCCGTCTTCCACAAAAAAGTGTCCGGGTGGTGTATCTAGTCACTCCCTCCCTATGATGTGCAAAGTTCCCGTGCCAGCGCGAGTGCTGGCTGCCACGAGGCAAGCATGGTCTATGTGATGCTTTGCCAACAGAATATACACCAGCAGCGGCTGTCCATGCCAACTGGTCCTAATCAACGCCCACGACCCAGGTCCTGGGCAGCAGCTACCAGTCCGAACTGGTGGCCCTCATACCAGCGGAGAACCTGCCCGCGCGCTTTGGCGGCGAGTCAGCCGCCAACGAGATGGAAGATGAGGGCCCCTGGGAGGGAACTCTGTTCAGCCGCGCCGCCAGCCGCGCCGCGTCCGCCGAGCCGCGGGAGCTGCTCCAGCTCTCGGCGCTGTGCGCGGAGCGCGTGGCGGCCGGCGGCGTCGGCGGGGCGCCGCAGCGGCCGGCGTCGAGCGCGGGCGCGAGCGAGGCGGGGTCGGCGGCGACAACTTTTGCGTCGGCCCTCAGCGCGCAGAGCAGCCGCAGGTCCAGCCGCACCTCTAGCACAGGCGGCACAGCCGCAGGCGTGGCAGCCCCGGCCGGGCTCGGCCTGCTCATCGCACAGCACGGTGGCGGCGGCGGGTGCTTAGATTGCAGCCCAGTCGCTGGCGGCGGCGGCGGCGGCTGCAGTGTGGCGTGTGCGCGCCGCTCCCTGATGGAGGAGACCATCCGCGAGGAGCCCAGCGCGGGCTCAGACTGGCCGGCCCCTGCCGCCAGCGGCGGCGGCGGTGACGGGGAGGAGGAAGGCCTGCAGCGGTGCGGCGGGGAGGCGGGCGGCCTGGCAGCCGGCGGCGAGGCGGCCATGGAGTTGACGGCAAAGGCGAAGATCTGGGCCTCCCGCCCCTCGGGCAGCTTCTGGCGACTGAAGTCAAAGCGCGGCGTGGCGGTTTGACCTGTGAACTGCAGCAGCGCTTGCAAACCTGGGCCACCGGCGCACGAGAGGCTAGCTTCGTCCTGTGCGTCTTCGGCGCACATCATTCGCCGCATGCGGTGTGCAGGGTGTTGCCTGGGCGTGCCGTTTCTTGTGACTGGCTCGATTAGCTCTACAGCGGGGCTTGTTTCTGGCAGGTGAGGTGACACATCAGCATAATGATGGCATCCATGACATCACCACAGACAGTTTGTGTTGGCAGCTGCGCCGACGTACTTCCAACCACGGCTGTGCACGTTGGGCACATGTATGTGTGACGCAGCAGCGCCAACAACTGGGGTGCCCCTGAGCCGTCCCAGCTGAAACGAACTCAACGCTGACCAATGCTGACCGACTTGCCTAGGCAAGCAAACCGCTGGCTTTGACCTTCAGCTTGCGTGATGCCAACGGCACAAGGTGTTTGGCGCGCATGTTGCCGCACGCAAACCTGTGTATATGCCTTGCAATTGTAATCGCCCTGTCCCTTCCAGAGGTATCTTGGTACATTGTGCGTGGATTCAGATACGTGCTGTGTATCGTACTGCAGCACAGGGCGGGTGTGCGAAGGGTATGCCGCCCCAGGCCCGGGTGGGAGGGGTCGAGGGGGGGGGGGGCAAGGCGTGCAGGCAGGCGTCCCGGCCGGCCGACCCCTAGGATCATCCTAGGTGAGCTGCGCGCCGTCTGGTGACAGCTGCGCAACAGGAAAAGCGCAGTCGCATCACCGCCACGGCCGCCAAGCCTTGCGATTTCGTTAATACAGTAGCTGCGCCCTCACATCATATCACAACAGCATTTGGCAGCCACAAACACAGCGGTCACTGGAGATGCTGCTTGGCCAAAGAGGGGGATGGTGTGATGTTACGCTGTGACCGGCACATTAGCTGTGTGTGAGCCATTCCCGACAGCCGCATCGCTGTTGCAACCTCAGCGCCACCGCCAACTTTTTACAAATGCTGTCCATCGGTGCTGAAAGCTGCCATCACGTGACATCAACATGTCACATCCATGCCACACAGACCCTAGCAATGAACTCTGTTTGCTGATTAGACTGAGACTGCTGGCATGCCGCCCAATCAAATGCACGACTTGCCTTGCTGGTTGCATTGCATCCAACCGCCAGGCACAGAGGATTTCACTCGACAGTAACCCAGCCAAAATAGGATACGATTGGCCACAGAATGGTGCCAAGCACGGTTCTCCGCCATTGGCGCCGCAGGGCAGCTATGCGCTGATTGCGTCGCCTGATGCGCTCGCGCTGCACCAGGCGTTCCCCTGCAGTGACATGGTCAGCAACGAGCAGGATTGTCACCCCCCCGCTGTCCACAAAAACCGGCGCCTCCGCCTTGTGCTGCAGCTGCTCTTTCGCTTCAGGCCAGTCTGAGAGGTGCTCCTGAGGGATGATTCTGCCCAGGTGCACACCTGCAGCAGCACGCGGTGTGCAGGGCCTGCCGTTTGCAAGGGCAAGACCCAGCCGCACTGCAGGTTTCACGACGCCCTTGTGATATCATTCAAACCTTAAGAGTCATGCGAAACAACAGCCTGGCCGTGGCAGCCCCTGGATGAGTTCGCGGGGCCAGAACGCAAGGTACGCAGCCCCTGCAGTCACCATGTCCTGGCTCCTCAGGTCCCCCGCACCAAAAAGCTCCGAGAATTGGGGGCCACCCAGCACCGCTCCGCCGCAGCAGTTGCCGTCCGCTGCGTAATCAGCAAGGCTCATGTTGAGGCGGATGCACGTGATGCGCCCTGAGAAACAGCAGGGCTGCCCCTCGGGGTCTGAGGGCGTCTCCTGGTCCACGCCCTCTGGGTACGCCCAGAGCTGCACTGCATCCCCAACACGGCCTCCTCCCCTGTGGCACACGCGGACAGGGGGCACGTTGGCAGCGTGACATGGGGGCTCCCACGGAGGGGAGCAGCAGTGCTGTCTGCAAACAGCCAGCGTTGGCTTGATAGCGTCGGGGCGTGCACTGATACCAAGGGCCGCCGAACTTGTGCTTGCTTGCAAACAAGCCCCAAGGCACACCACGCCATGCACCATCATACCATGCACCGCTATGCCATGCACGCGGACCCGCCAACCCCGCACCTGGCCATGGCTCTTGGCAGCTGCAGCTCTGACCTTGAGGTGGGCACCAGCAGCACCAGGGTTGATATGGGCGAAGAGCGTAGAAACTTCACCTCAAATGGGGGCACCTGCCCAGCCAGCGCGACCCACGCAGTGCTGCCATCCTCTGTCGCCGCCTCCCATACGTGCTCCGTGGTGACTACGGCCCCATCCGAATGGCGCACCAAGACGCAGCTGCCAACGGCGTTGTCCACTGCCACGTGGTCGGTGCCAGTTGCAATGCGGTGCACGCGGCCCACACACGCGGGGGGCTCGCTGGGGACTGCGGGACACAAGGGAACGTGTGATGGGTTTGGAGGCTTCTGGTGAGATTAAACGCCTCGCTCACAAACTCGCGATTCGCCGATCCCAGTGCGCACATGCATCCACGTGCCGTGGTTGAGCAGGGGCAGCTGGCAACCGAGCGCCCAGCAGCGCAGCCCCTGGGCTAAGCCGCAAACATGTGCTTGGCCTCAATCACAGGCGTTGCTCACAAGTTGATGCGACGCCGGCCGGGACCCCCAAAGCATCGGCGGCCGCGCGCTAACGTGAGCCCCACGCAGTGACACTTGCTGCAACAAGTGCACACAAACACACGCACAGACAGACACATACACACCCACCACCCCCCCCCCCCACACACACACACACAAGCAAACATGCTGTGGCCAACTACATGACATCAGAGCCAAACCATGGACGCGGCCTGTCCGCCTCACCTGCTGCTGGTGCTGCTGCTGCTGCTGCTGCCGCTGCTGATGCTGCTGTGTGAACAGGGAAATGGTGGTTGGCCAGAGGGGCCGTAGGGACACCGTGAAGGAAGCCGGCAGCTGATTTAGGCCACGACATTCAGGGGAGGGAAGAGAGGGGTGGATGGGGGCCAGCAGTAGCGGTCTGGTGTTGCTTGGACATCCGGCATGCTAGCCGCGCTCACTGGGCGAAAGCTGTGAATGCGCCAAGGGCAGGAGCTCCTTGCTGTCATGCTAGCCACACCTACGAGACCGTTCAGCAGCAGGTGCACCGCTGCACCAAGTGAAGGTTCCAAGCAGTTGAATGCAGCCTCACCTGCCTTTACCTTGATATCTCCAGCGTGAAGTAGGTATTTGACGCCCGCTTCTACAAGGGTCCTCTCACTGTTGTTTGCCAACATGTCAGTCGTCCGCGCGCCATTTGACCACAGCGCGTCCGCGTAATCTCCATACCCTTCATGTAGGCTTTCCAGGTAGGTCCTGAGCCCTTCCACATCAGCAAACCTCATGCTGTCTGGCGCTCGCCAACACCAGAATTCATGCAGGTGGGTGGGAGCACGAGAAGGTCCCCGTGCAACCTGCGACTGAGTGACCTGTCCCAATCGTTTTCTGGTGGCCAGGTTTGCATAAGGTGGGAATAATCAGCACAGAGCTATGACAACCAGCAGCGTAAGCAGGGTGAAGCGCCGGTGTCATGCTGGCCTGCTGGGACCATCCAGCTTTGTCGGACCTGGCGAGCGCTCTTACCTCGCGGCTCAAGCTGGCATTGGGTGAAATTTCAGGGCTGCTAAACGCAAAACAGAAGATTTTTCATTGTAAGGGCGCAGAAGACACCCGTTGCTTGTCTGTACGTGAGGATGGAAGTGATCTTGCTCAGTATCGTATGTGTGCTCGCTTCTCAGGTGCGACTGATGTTGCAGACTGCGCAAAGGCAAGAGGTTTTGCCGATACGCAGAAACTCCACCAGAACACCCTATTATCTAAGGTCTGGTAAGGGTGCACACACTGGGCCGGGCTTGGCAGATTCTGCCTGGGTGCATAGAATCACCACACATTTTCAAAGAACCAATCAGCGGGAATGAGAGTTAGGTTGTATCAGGAGTGCACGCCAGCGTGGGGTTGGCCCTGCAGCGCAGTGAGCACACATCGGAGCGGAGCCCAGACCGCTACCTCAGCAAGCAGCGTCTGGCCGGGTGCACCTGGTTCCATCCGCGCACGCGGCCAGACGATCGTGTAGCAGGCTTCATTAGCTTGCCCACTGCTATCCTGCTTGCGGTGATGCTATACTGGTGAACGTCCTTCAGACAAGCAACGGTCGCATGTTTTGCCTTGCCGCACAAACCTTTCAGCAGCTGGTCTCATTCTGCCTTCTCAGTCCAGTAAAACCATGTCCTTGCCTGTTTCTGCATGCTTGCTCTGAAGATAACGGAGGGCTGCATGGCAGCTGCCAGGTAGTCGCTGCTTGGGATTGCAATGGGTGGGGCGCAGCTGGCAGGTATTTGCTAGCGGGCCCAGCTGCTGCAGGTCAATTGCATCAGCGTTGAAACGGGCTGTGAACTGCTAGGCCACTAGGCTAACCTGCTGCTAGCGGATTCCAGGATCAGCCGGTCCCAGCCAAGCACCTGTGTTGCCAAGCACTGGGACGTTGTTGCATTGACCTATGTACCGTGTCACACTGATTTGCCAAGGAGCAGGTGGTATGTTCGTCACCAGTAAACAGAAATCACCGCTGTGAGTATTTGCAGAATCTGTTCCTGCTATTGTGCCTGTGGCAGCGCAAGTCAGGTCGGCGTGCAAGTCCCCACGGCATTTGCGGGTGCCACCTCAAGCCCGTCGGCCTGCGACTGGGTCAGCTGCTGCTGCTGCTGTTGCTGGCGTGCCTGGTGCCACATGGGTTGCTGCATCGACGTTCCAAATGAGCTCTTGTGAGTATCAAGCAGCTCGCTACCCACCAAGGATGCGCCTAGATGCAAACACGCACCCAGACACGCCCTCTGTGCCCTCCGCTGGGGTCAACGGCCTGCCGTCATCCGTCGGCGCCCCTGCCTCAACTTCCTCCCACAAACATGCTTCCCGCAAGTTGCTTTAGGTGCAGGCTCGCATAAAACAGCATGGGAAGCTGGATGGGCTCCACAGCTGCACGGTCACTACAGCAGGACGCGGGTGTGCTGCGGTGGCGTCACTGCGCAACTGCCGGAACCCAGCCTCACCACGAAGGTGATGCCCGTGATTATACTTGCAATCAATTTGTGCGTACGATACCATTTCTTGTCCAGGATGGATGCTCAGCGAGACCACTCGTAACCTGATAATGGAGAATGATCTGAGCCATGGTTCTGGCGAGGGTGGTAGCCATCGTCCTCCACCTGTGTTGATTCGCCCACCTCAGGTAACATGCGGCTGCTTGGTGATGATGGTGATCCGCGTTGGTTGCCGATCCACAACTTCCTGGACTGTCCGCTTTTTATCACAAGCGATTGTACGCAAATGCTGTCGCAGGCAACAAGTCACCACCAGACAGCAGCATCACATGCAGCGCCGCCGCCCAGCGGTATAGCGCCACACCAGCAGCATGCGCGGTCGGCGGGGCCCGATGCAACGGCCTCTGGAGGGCGAGCCGCACCTGCAGGCCCGCCGGGCTTGGTCACGCGCCCGCCACAGCAGGCGGCGGGTCCGCCTGGCTCCGGGCCGCGAGTACTGCCGGGTGCGGGAGGGCCCCCACGGCACGTGCCCTCCAGCCATTCAGTGGCGCCGCCACCGGCCAGGCCGCTGCCTCCTGGAAGGGACTCACAGGGGCCTCCCACACAGGCAACTGGGCTGGTACCCCCGCCGCCACTGGCATCCCGCGGTGCGCCGCCGCCGCCGCCCATCCCGCCGCCCGGCGTGCCGCCGCCGCCGCCGCCGGTTCGGCCCCGTGTGCCGCCGCCGCCACTGCCAGCGGCAGGGCCGCCGCCACCGATGGTGCGGCCCCCGGGACCCCTGAGGGCCGGCATGGCTGGCAATCTAGGCAGCGGCTCGTCAGGCGGCGGCGCGCCGCCCAAGGCCGGCCC